TCCTGCTGTATTTTCAACCTAAACGATAGCTAGGAGAGTGCAATGGTATTTCTGCATTTTCACCAAAGTTTGCTTAGAGTTTCAGCTGATTCTTTATTGGGGCAGAGGGATCCCAAGCTCAGACCTCTAGGTCCAGCTTGGCCCTGCCTTCCTGGTGCATTCGGGATGCATCCCTCCATGGATATTTTCTCGCTGTCCACTCTAAAAATATTTTGCATAATTGCACTAAGCAGTAGGAACAATAGATTTAATACAGCTTCAACTCCCTAGCCATCCCTTCAGATAGCGGGATGAGGAGAGATGATGCAGGAGAAAGCGTGTCTTGTCTTCTAACCATGGCCTGCAGGTCAGTGTTAATTAACCTCCCTCGCAGAAACGATCTCTCCTTGAGGAAGTGTGAAAGCGCCGGCAATTTGTAGGGAGGGAGCGTGGTCTGGCAGTCGGATGGTGAGATGGGGCACCGCGGCTGCAAGATGACCTGGCCTCTCGGGACAGCCTTTATATGTGACTTTATTCTGTCCATAACCTCCCTCTGCCTCTTTTGGTGGCAGCCCACGCCAAGGCCATGAAACCAGAGAGATGTGGTTAATCACTGCAAAATGACGCAACGTTTGCCACCGAGAGGCTCTACAGATGTTACTGGTGCAAATACCCTTCCACGCACAGTTATGGTTAACCAGCCTGACATGATCTCAAGGAGTTACTTGTGCCCCTCCATCGCTGAGGGATTTCAGTGCCTAAGGGTGAAGATTTTGGTCGCTCGGTTAGATCCCTTTGGGTTTCCTCTGTGAGATGCCTCTTACTGTACTTTCAAGAGGATGAATCAGACCTTCTGCCAGCTACCTTAACAAATATAGTGCTCGGTGAGTGGCGTTTCCAAGAGATCTGTCAAAGGACCGCAGCCATGCCCCTTGATTTCCTCGGCTGGGCAGCTCGGGAAACACAGCCGAAGCCCATCTGACGTTTGCTGCTGGTTGCATTTCACACATCGACCTCCCCAGCAGAGCAGGTACCCTGACCAGCCTGCTCCCAAAAGTGCCCGAATTGCATGAGCAAATAGCCGATGTGCTGCTTTCCTTCTAACGGCCATTTTAGAGACCAAGCTTAGAAGTGAGCATGAACTTCATCCAGCCATAGGGCAATTATTGGGCCTGCTGTGCTGCCTTAATATGTCCAGGCCAGCTGTGTGGCTGCAGGCTTAAGTGAAAAATGACCTGAGCTCTACCCGGTGGCTTGCTCAGGGATGAGGAGGCTGCTCTGGAGGGAATGCACAGTCAAAACATGAGTGTACGGTGAGTTTTCAAGGCAAGCAATAAGGATGTGTGTCACAAGTGATGTTAAGCAGCCTAAGGAGGAGCTTGTTATCAGCTTGGCTTTCACTGGAAAGCACAAATAGATGATGAACCATGTACAGTCTATGCTGGTTCCAATCGCTGTGGTCCCGGTGCTGTTTCTGCAGCATCCCCACTTGTGTGGCACACAGGGGCATGTTCGCACCATCCTGCAGCCCCAGAATTGCCATGGCCATGGGCCGTTTCCAGTAGGCAAAGGCAGCATAAAGCTTCTCCTGTGCTTCTCAGAGCTCCTGCGAGCGGAGCACGGCGTGTGCTCAGACCGGCTTGTTCTTCAGCGTCAGCTGACTGCATTAAAAAAAAGGCTGTTTTGCCAGTCCTGTGACTAGCAGTGCTGAATTTTATGCTCAGATTCCTCTTCCCAAATGAAACATCTCCATTTTGGCAGTCTCAGGCTCCCCATGTGCAGTAAAGGCTCACAGTTGTGGAAGAGCAGCTGAAGGTCACCCCTCCATTTCTTTGTTATTAACATCCTTAAGAGGCAACGAGTGAGAAAGGCGAATGAGTCAAAGTTCATTTTTCTCGTAATTAGCAGATTACACGAAAGTTCGGTAGCTTCCACAGAAGAAGAGTTGAAGATTGAGTTCACTCACCTGTCCCTACAATTAGCAGCTAGAAAGGTGTCACAAGGATATGAAGCAAGAGAAAGAAAAAGCCGGACTCCAATTTACCCACAATGAAGGTGCAGCTCTCCTGGGAGGGGGAGATGGACCCCAGGATCTGTTGTCCTGCAGTTAGTGGTGTACGAAGGAGAAATATTTAATACTCTACTTCAATTTTCTTGCAATTAGCCCCTCCCCAGAAGATGCTGTTAACCTCCTGGACGCGGTCCTGTGCAGCCTGTTCTGGGTGACCCTGCTTTGGCAGGGGGTTGGACTGGGTGACCCACAGAGGGCCCTGCCAACCCTGACCATTTTGTGATTCAGCAGCTATGAGATGGAGTCTTGCAGTTAATTTTTTGCTGTGCCATCCTAATGAACAGAGGCAAAGAGGGAAAGGGAGAGAAAGAGATCACTTGGTTAATTTTCCAGTGGTAGAAACCACAGGGATGTGGAGAGGAGCATGGGGATGGTCTGGTTTGATGATGTCTTCGCTCACCCAGACCCAACACACCTCCTGCATCTCAGGCATGTGTGCTGATGCCGGGCTCATTTCTTGGGCAGAAAACTAGATTTTTTTTCAGTTTTTCATTTTGCTGCCCAAGGCAGGAAGGAATCTGTACATAAAAACCACTTGGGGCTGGCAGGAGAAGAAGATGTCTTTCCACTGCAGCCAAGACCAAAAGCCCCCAACAACAGATGGTAAAGAGAGACCTGTTCAAAAGGTGAAAAATCCAAAATCAAAGAGCATTTTAAAACAAAAATGCCAAACACTTACTTTGGTAATATGGGAGTGAAACATCCTGATGTTGTCATTCTGCAGAGTCTACTGATGCCTAAAAGTGTGACAAATTTTAGGCAGTTTCATGAATCCTGGTGGTTGTTCCGAGTAAGCATTGTTTTGCTGAACATTTTTCAGTGAGCTACCCTTTCTGCGCTTCCACCGTCCTTCTTCGGCTGCACCTGCCCTTTTGATTTTCTTTTCTCGCTGTGGAGATGGTGTAAATCCCAGGGACTCCTCGTCACTCGGCTGTCATTATTCCAGGGAAGAAGGCTGCTTACTTTACATTTTCTTGTCATTTTCCTAGAGTGTGAAAGTATTCTTAATTTAGATGCCATGGCTATGCCATCACCTCTGGTACCTGTTTAATAATAAACCCTTCCACACCGAGAGCTGGCACTTCTCCTGGGGCGAGGGGAGGGAGCGTTTCCCCGTTCTTAGCTCCTGGCGAGCTTGGGGATGGTGCCACCCGCTCACGGGGCTTCCCCGCACCCTCCTTGGTAAGAACTGGTGGGTTTTTTCCTGATTTCTTCCATAAATTAGGCTTAGACCATCTAAATTGTCCTGGGACAATTGAACTCAAACCTCCTAGTTATTTAAAGAAAAGTAGGAGAATTCCAAAGCGAGCTACCGTACCCGTGTCCTCTGTCCCGCCAGGGCTACAGTTTTATTTGCATCTCTTACGGTAGGTATTATAAGTTAATGAAATAGAAATTGATCTCTAAAAGAGCACATTTCAAGGTTCAGTCGCTATCTAATTAATTTAATTTTAAATTACATCAGTAATAAAGACTTAATTGCCTTCTTATCAATATATTGTATTTTGTAAAGGACATGTGGCTATTTAAACATGCAATCGTTTTCTTACAGTAGAATAATTGGTATTTTAAGCATACAACTATCATATTAAGTGTAAAATATTTATTTGTGCACTTAATTTGAAGTGGTATCAAAATCTCAATGAACATGCAAATGTTACAACAGCTGCTATTTAACTCCTAGCCTGCCTCTCCAGCAAACAGAACGACTTTTCCATGCGAGGGAGAACGGCTTGAAATAACAGCGTATGGTGATGTAAAGGATATTCGTATGGTTACACCAATTTTTCATTATTAACCTTCCATTTGCAGTCTTATGGTATATGAGGCAGTTTAATAGACAGAACAGATTAGGATGGGTAGCTTCGACTTCTATATAACATGTGCTGAGGACTTTGAACCCTCTGTACCTTCACATAAGTCTCATTTTTGGCTAGAAGACGTGGAGGTTTGTAGCAGCAGATGTGCTGATATCCATTATGAGCAGAAGCACAGTTAAACACCGATGTGTTTTCTGTGACCAAGGTTTCAGGAACCACCATCACTAAGCAGATATATCAATGTCAAGCTTTAGCCCCTTCCTTTGCTTAGCACGGGAGCCGGATCTTGTAGTGTATAAGCTGCCAGGGAGAATAATTAGATATAGCACAAGCTACCTTTGATTTAAAAATTGCAAGGGGAGAAATTAAATCCAGCACAAACCACAACATATACGCAGAACTGTGTGGTAACTTGTCAACTAAATGGATTTCTAACTGTTCACTTCTACCATAAAAATATTATAATCTGTGATGTATTTCTTTCATATATATCTGTGTATGCACGTATATCTGTATGTTATACAGCACCATTATAAATAGCAAGCTTTGAACTGTGAAGTAGCAGCACCAGATATTACTGAAGTGCTTTCAGATTGTCATCACACCGTCACGATTTAGTTTTAATATATGTTGACTTTAAAACCCGCTGTATATATTCTTTAACGCGACACAGTAAATAATATTGGGGCCACTCTAGTTTTTGTCATCTGCTGCATACGGGGGAGCTAGACCTGCAGCCTCTGACCACCATCGCTCAGCAAATTAAGGGGAAAGCAGGTTACTATTAAGGCACTGAAGCCCCCAGACCCGCTGGGGGCTGTGCCAGGTCCGGGAGGTGCCTGTTCACCACGTGCTTTTCAGATGTGACCGAGCTCTTCCTGCGGGCGCTGACCTTCTGCGGGTGTGCAGCTGGAAATACGTGGCTGCGAGGTCTCGCGGGGGATCTGCTATTTGGGTCACAGGGAGCCTGCGAGGCTGGGGAGGCTCCGAGGAGAGCGGACCCTCTCCGAGCGAGATGCTGACCTCGCGCTCACTGCTCAGGCTTGAGTGTGGTCTCAGCCTTCCTCCCGCCTGGCCCCAGGGGAGGGCAAAGGAGGTCGCACTTGCCAGTGAAATGACTTTCTAGCCTCGTGGTATAAGCTGTTTATTATTTTTTTTATTAGTCTGTTATTTAGTAGCCCATCTGAGATTAATGTCTCGTGGCTACATGCCTTTTCCACTCGATTATGTGTTGTTTCCCTGCAAAGTAGGATCATCTGTATTTCCTTGCCGTGTGTTTCAATGCTTGCTTGCAAAGCTCAGTTGAAGGCAGGGTAACACAAGGAGGGGAACTGCTGTGAGCTGCAGCAGCCGCTCCGGCGTCTGCGTGGGCTTTGCTCACACCGGTGCTGGGGGCAGCAGGTCTGACACCAGATAACTCTTGCAGGACTACCCCTTGTATCTCTGAATTTCTGGTGGAAATTGGATCTGATACCACTTGGAAGGGTAGAGAAATAAAGGAAACAACAAGTCTCGCCTCCTCACTCATCACAGGCAAATTAAAAATAAAAAAGGCGGAACAACTCGCCTTTAAGACGGGACGGCAGAGTTAACCCCGTGCAGATCCCTGCTGTGAACATCAGCCGTGTTCGCGGTGGTTTCTCCTCGGCCGTACCCAGAGGTAGCAGAGCCCTTGGTAGCGCTGGTGGTTAAAGCACAAGGTGTCGGAGCGCCTGCGGCTGGGGGGGGGGGGGGGGGGGGGGGGGGCTCCCCCCCCCCCCCCCGCCTCCATGCCTCTTGGCTGATGGACCCGAGACAGATGAATCTGCAACGCTACGCTTCGATGCAAAGGGCCTGCAAGAATAGGTGGAAACCTGTTGCAATCTTTTCTCGATTTTATTTCTGTGTTTCATATGCAGAGAATAACTGATCTTCGTCTCTCTTTCCAGGAGGCTTATTTCTCCTGCTCATATTTCTCTTCGTGATGTGGAAGGAGTTTGCCGCCGATTTTCAGAAGTACATCCTTCTGGAGAGAAGCGAGAAGTGCGTGGATGACGTACCCGTGCACGTGTATTACGGGTGGTCGTTCATGTTCGCCGCAGCGGGGGTGCCCCTGGTTTTGCTTTCCGGACTCCTCTTCTACGTGGTCGGCAGAGACATTATGAAGTCATCGGAGTAAGACAAATTTGGAGAAGGCCTTTGAGAAAATGGGTGATGCTCCTTCTAACGAAACACACACAGGTTTTGAGGACTAGATCGTTTCTGTAGCTATAATTGTCAGTGTAGGTGTGTGGTTACACTCTTACATGGGGGCAGGGATGGAGCGCTGAGCATCCAACCACTGTCAGTCCAAAACCAGCCCCAGCTGAAAGTCCAGCTTCAGCATTTTTACACTTTGGAGAAATTTAGGCCTGTCTGTCGGTTTTGCGCCCGTTTTCTCTGTAGCCCAAGGAAGAGCCTTCGCTGTGAAGAGCAGCTCCCCCGGCTCGCCCGGCTGGCAGCAGAGCCCCGCATCCATATTCAGCAGAGCTGGAGTTTTATGGCGTTCCCAGCATTCTTGTTTCTTGTAAAAGGTAATCGAATCTGGCTGCGATGGTGTATGCTATAATGTCTATTTCTGAAAAGCAATTAAGGATGATTTTTTTTTTTAGCTGGCTCTAACTGACGTCAAAGGACAACCATTTTAATGGGATGTCGGGAAGCCTCAGAAACTTTTTTTCGTTAAAAGCCCTGATTCTGAAGATACAAATGTACCTTGACCTAACCTAACTTTCAATATGCAAATAAACCAATTTCTGTGGTGTGAAACCTAAGCTGAATTAATTAGTACTTCTTTACAGCACCACGTTACTTCACATTTAATATTTTTCCCGGACACAGTGTTGTGGGGATTCACAACCCACAAGCTGAAAGTTGGCCAGAGCTGGGGGAAAGGGAGAGAGAACAATAGCACTGTTATTTTTTATTTTGTTTGTTATGGTAGACCATGGGACCTTGTTGTATTCTACAGAGGCAGCACAAGAGTCAGCTCCAAAAAGACAAATCATATAGCATTTAGATACTTTCAAATTCTTGCAATGGCGCACGTGTACGTTGTCTGACAGATTGTAGTGGTCCTACAAAGAGTAATCCATGCTAGTCCTACACCAAACTATTGAGGTATCGAGGTGATGTAACTTATACTGTATATACGGAGGTTTGTAAAGACACTTGAGAAATGACAAAGATTTGATCTTGTCATGTTTTTCAGGCTGGATCTTGATGCTTTGAAGTAGTTTGTTGGGCCTTTGCTTGCTGAGCTCATTAGCATAAATTTCAAATCAAACTTCCTAAAAATGCACGCTCTTCTCATGAATGTCGTCGTTTGTGCTAAACATACATCTCCCACGCTTTATGTCACGCTATTGACTCAGCGTAGTTAATTAATAATGTAATGTAAATCTCTTCTAGAAAGCAGTGAAGATTGTTGGCAGTATAAAAATGTTTGTTAATGCTCTTCCTAAAATATTATTCAAGTCTGGCATTTCTTTCCTTTTGGAGCAAGTTCTAATTATTCTTTTACAAGATTCATGGTATACACAGAGTGAGAAATTGTAATTCCCACATGTAAAAATTAGTTCTTTCGTATGAATAACAAGCTTGGTCTACAGTTCTTAAGCAGAAGTCACACTGTTTTCCCTCAATAGAAATTTTGTTTGAATAGACTTGGTATATACAGGTAAAACCAATGTTTTTTCCCAGTGAATAGATGTTTCATGACATTTGGGAATACACAGATATTTCAGTATTTTATCTGGCCATTCTAAACTGGGTTTTTTTCATGATATCTCTTTGGGTTGTGCCTGTGCCCCGCCAGTTCTTCAAGTGATAATTTCTCACTATAAATTCCCTTTGAATAATTTTTGTCATTTAATTATCTATTCAGTGTAGAGATGAACACTTATGGTCACAAAGAATAAAAGTATATAATCCAGGAGCAGAAGAGGTCAAGATTTACAGTCACTTGCCTTTCACTGATCCCATAAAACAATTCAAGCATGCAGAAATGATGATCCCATAAGAGACACCGGGGCAGAAGGATGAGAATGCAGCAAGAAATCCATCAGACTTATTGATATCTGTGAAGCTGAAGATCCCTGAAGTTGTGAATATAGAAGTGAGTTTTATATTATAGAATGAAAAATTTATTAACTTTCTTCATCTGTTCTTTAAAAAATTTAGTTTAATGTCATCAAGGCGTTTATGGAATACATTTAGCTTAATCATGCATTCATGCCTTTGGGAGTAAACCATCCCTGGAGACTTGCTCATTCTGGATCAGCTCTAGAACAAGCAATAGTTTAAAACTCTGTCACTCTTTTGAAAAACACGTGACTTTGTATCATTCATGAGTGGAGGTTTTTTTAAAATAAACCCCTCTGGTATTGAGCATACTGTAACAGTCACAACTGTAAGGACACAGAGCATGAGATTATAGACCAGCATAACTAAATTAATTGCCTCCTCCATTAAAATGCCACCTTTGTAACCAGCACAAGTGTTAACCAAACACATCTTTTTCACGGACTAAAGAGTCTAATTCCTTCGCTCTCAAGTTTCTGGTGGCAAATATAACTCAAGCAGACAAAATTTTGTGTGAGAATCATCATTTCCGTCAGAGACATTTCAAAAAACAAGCTAATGGACTCAGCGGTAGGGTTTGAAATTGCGGAAACCGCGGTCTCTTTCATCTGTTGAATGTGAAGAATTTTGATGAAAGGATATTATAGAGTAGTGACAAGGACCTAATTCTGATCCAAGTTTTGTCATTATGAATCATGAGTAATTCCAAAGACTGCAGTAGACCCTTATCACTGTTAAACATCTGTAAGTCAGATCAGAACCGGGACTAATAAATACATTCAAAAATGCATAATTAAAACAGTGATTTCACATCACTCTGATGAATTTTAGTCAAGGATTTCTTCAAGGATGCTTTTCTCACATTAGCATTTGACGTTAGTAAGCAATGAATAATTCCATTTTTTCTTTCCAACATCTGGGACACTTCCTGCTTTATTTGCTACTTACTGAACGCTCTGCAGGAAATATTAATGAATCTTCGGTGTTCAAATACAGGCCCTGTGGATCATACTCAGGAGGCAGTGTAACCTAGCAGCAGCTATATGTCTTGAGATTAAGAGGCTTGATTTTGGTAAAGTAAGATACTGGGAGATTTGCCAAACCTGTGAGCGATATGGGGATTTCAGGAGGCCACCCAAATGCCAAGCCACTGCAGCTCCTTCATTCAGCTGTTGCCTTATACCAGGGAAAAAAAAATTAATGATAAAAGTTTTTCAGATTGGTCAGATCAACTTTTATACCAATGATTCGCAAAACTAATGCACAAGGAGCCCCCAAGGCTGCAAAGGTGCTGGGTGATAGGCAGCAACCCCAAGGAGAGATGGACCAGGAGACCAGCATGCCATGAGAGCATCGCTGCCGTGCCTGGCTGCTTTCTCATGCCACCAGAGGCCTGGAGACTTTTATTTGTCTTGGTAAAATATATGGTAATATTCCATGTTTGGAGAGGTCTGCTGACTCTGCAGAGCAACCTGCAAGGGAGAGCTGGGCTGAGAACCAGAGGCAGGAGAGCTTGCAAAGGAGGAAGGCAATGTCCTTCTGTATTAGTGTGAAATGACCTTGGCCGTCCAACGTCTGACCAGGAGGGTGAAAGCACCTTCTACTGTGGAAAGTACGTTAATTTGAACTGAACAATTCGTTCCAGCTCGGTGTAGAACAGCCCCTCTGGGATTGCTTGCTTTGACCCAACAGGACTTGCAAAACTTTCTACTTCTTTTTATCCAGATATCTCCATCTCATTTGGACAGGTAGTGTTTTCACCTTGGTTAGACACACTTCCACTGCCTTGGTGGATTCACATAACAAAATATGAAAGTCTTGCAGAACAAGTGTCTCCTTATCAGCTGTTCCCCAAGGCTCTGTACAGCAACCAAGCATCATCGGCACTCGGAGACCACTCATCGAAAAGTGGAATGGTTTAGGTTGGAGGAGACCATGCAGCCAGCCCATGCAATGCAACAGAAAAGTGAGGTGCTCAGGCTTTACATCCCTCTGGAAGTGAAGATAACCAAGGAAGATTCCCGTAGCCACCGTCGTGTGGACTTCCATTGGGCAGCCCAGCCCTCATCCTGCTGAGTCAGCACCTTCTGAAGTGCCCCTCGTCACTCATCCTGAGCGAACGCTGCCTGGGGGAATGCTGGTGGGAGAGAGCACATATGCGGTGTGGCAAATTAAGACGCAATCAAAATTAAAATAAAGAAGAAAATATAAGCTAGCTCCATGCTCCATGCACCAGGCTGTACATTACTGCAGGATTAAGTCGTATCAACCAGAGTACATTTTACAAGAGTGCACAGCACCTCAATCCTATAATCAATAAGCTGTACATGCTGCGGCACAAAGAGCTCTTATCTGGCATACCACTTTGAATTTAGTGAGTTTATTTAATCCCTGGTGCCTGCAGAGCATCAGTCCTCTCTTCTGGGTTAATTTATTTATTCCGGTGGTCTATTTTTAATCTTTCAAGTACTTGACATTTGAGAAGAAGTTTTTTTTTCCCCCCACTTCCTAAAAAACATCTGAATTGGGAAAACTTTATTTACAGAAATATATTTGTTCCCAAAGTTATTCCCTACTCTTTCTCTTCAGAGCAAAAGCCCTGTTATCAATACTAATAACCATTCACTGAATGGATCAGGGAAGGCTCCTGTTCATCCTGCTTGGCAAAGTGTGTTTCTAAATCAATACCAGACATTCAGCGATCTTCTGGCTTTCTTCTCATCTTTTTTTTTTTTTTTTTTCCATGAATATTCTCTCCTCTTAAAAAAGAAAGTCACCGATATTCGTGGTACGTCCGAGATGCTGTGCTGCATTTGGTTTGGGAATTGTCATGAGTGCAGGTGATGCTTGTATCTTCTGGAACCTGATGTTTCCAGGTGTCATTCCATCGCATGATGCCTTGGCTGAACCCAAGAGAACCAGCGGTTTAAGCAGTGTGACTACAGAAATTCTTGCTATTAAAAAGCTATAACTAATGAAACAATAGTCTACTGCCACTGCTGTGATGGTGTGGTAGTGATTATTATCAGAGCTCTAAAGAATGCTCTCTAACTAACC